GTGTGTGTGTGTGTGTGTGTGTGTGTGTGTGTGTGTGTGTGTGTGTGTGTTGTACATCCAGTATTCTCTGTGCAGCTTTGAATTGGTCATAGCTTGCAGCATGTAAATGGATTGATTCCACCCTCTGTGGGATTCCAGGGACTGACTGATGTTCAGTCAGTCAGACGGCGCTGCTGAATGCTGCTCACCAGGGCAGAAGGACAATAGTGTGTGAATCATTCAGCAGAAGCAGCTGTAAAGCTTAGATAATCTGATACAGCCTCCCTCTCTCTGATTTAACAAGAGAGTTACCACTGTCATGTTGAAACTGAGTAATAAAAGGGTGATTTGACAGTGTTGACAGAACAAACTTACATTCAGGCTAACTGGGAATTTTTTTAAGCTGCAGGCAGGAATTGACTTTTAAAACATCATTTACCTAGAAAAGAATTTAGCTTTTCCTGTGAATATCAGTCATCAAGTAGTTGTTTACATGTGATTTTATAATGATGTTTAGGTTATATCAGGTCGAAATTATAGTTTATTTTGTTTTTAGTGATTTAGTGATTAGATAATTTTCTATTGTAGATCTATAATAGCATTGCTATTTTTTTAAGGAGTTTGTCCTAATTATTCACAAAAGGAAACTGTCAACTTGACGTATGTTTGTTTTGATTACATATTAATAAATCTATCATCTGACTGTATAATTGTTTGTCATTAGAAGGTGGCACCAAGTCTGGATAATTCCTTCAGTGCATCACAGACTTTATATGTCATAATTTGTGTATGGCATGAAAACAGTTATTTTTAGTTTTCACCATTATAAACCTGTGTATTGCTGTTTTTACTAAAGTGCGAAAAAACTCAACCTTTGTGTACCTCGGTTTAATTGCTTTTAAACTAGTTAGAACACTCTCTGCGGTGGTGAGGGATAAAACATTTTCTCTCATTTAACAGAAACCCAACAGTTTCAATTAAAAATGCCTTCATAAACAAAGGGACAGAATAGTTTTAGTTAAATTATTTTCTGCTCTACTGTGGCACAGTGCTTTTCTCAGTTCACACAATAAAAAATCATTAGTTGTCTAACAATTGTTAAAAAGTTCAAATTAAACTACATTAAAATCAAAACTTCCTTTTGAAAATTTTCAGCTAACTTATGACACTGACTCTGTAATAAAATGTTTAGGATTTTATTTTCTCTACTTTTCTCTTTATGGAAGAAACAAAACGTTTTTGTGTTAGTATTTTGTGGACATGCGTGTGCAACTGAGAGCTGCTACAACACAAGTTAAAACAAATACTTCTTTTACAAGATTGCCATCCCTCCATAATGTCCTCACTCAATTATTCAGAAGGAGTGAGAATATCCAAAAACAAATATTAACAAAAAATTTAAATGAAAAGTCTCTGAATGTAAAGCTTGAGTATTCATGTAGATCTATTGTAAATAATATTTGTGTGTGTTTATTTTACTTCAGTAAGACAATTATTTGCACCACATTTTTTAAATTGATTTTCTGACCTGGGACCACTTAACGGTCCATGTCATAAAAGGCTGAGGGTTTGGCTTTAAAGCGCTTGCAAAATCCTGAGTTTTACTCACTGTGGCGACATCTGCAGGAGGGAGCAGCCAAAGGAAGGAAGGAAATTATTTACTGTGTTGGAAAGGTGAGCTCAGTTCATTCACTTTTGTTGTAAACTGAAAACATTTGGGTTTGACATAACAAGATGAATATGAGACAAGAGAACAACACTTCAACTTTTATTTCCTTGTTAATATTTCTGGTTCAAATATACAACTTTAAAGAGGGCATTATTTGTAATGGAACACTAAATTTCCAGGTGAATAAAGGTGAAACGTGTGACTGATAAGTGTTTCTTTTTCATTTCCCAGCTGTCCTTTTACATTGAATAATGTAAACAATAAATACAGCTGAACGTCTCGTCTCAGTTTTAGAATCATGTTTATTTTTTTTTTCCTGTGCAGACTGCATCCTCTACAGAGGTGGAACCAATATGAAAACTAGAAATCAGCCAATGGGTGAAAAACAAGCAATTGTGAAGCTGAGAAAAGAGGGAAAATCAATCAGAGCCATTGCACAAACATTGGTCACAGCCAGTTCAATCATTTGGAATGTCCTGAAGAAAGATACCAGTGGTGTACAAAATATCAAACATCAATCAGGAGGAGCAAGGAAAGCATCCGCCACTGACGACAGAAACATTGGGAGAGTTTTGAAAAAAAAAAAAAGCCTAAAACAGCACTGGGTGACCTCAGCATCAACCTCTAGAGGGCAGGAGGTTTGCAGAAGAGTTCATGAAAAAAATAAAGGCTAGAGAGGAAGAATAAAAGAACCAACAAGACGGAAAGAAATTTGCCAAAAAAAAAAAAGTTCAGAGATGAACCTCCAAATTCTGGGACAAAAAAATTATAGACTGCTGGGACAAAGATGAACTTTTACCAAAGTAATAGAAAGGCTTAAGAAACATTTTGTCTGCCAGTTTAAAGATGCAACCAAATTGACTGGGAAGTCAAGATAACAACTCAAAACACACACTGACAAAACAACAAAGAAGTTCATCTGGGATGAGAAGTGAATGTTAGTCTACAGACCTGTACACTGTTGAGTAACATTTTACTATAATTTTTGTATTATTATATGTAATATTGCTATAGAGAAGATTGAAGGGACAAACCCCCAAAAACAAACAACTAAAATAGGCTGTGCCCAAAATCTGGGAAAGCATCATAAAAATAATAATAAAAATATTTGGCGACGTCAGTGGGTTACAGGCTTGATGACAATGTTGCAAGCATTGAATTAGTAGCCGCCCAGAGCAACGTGTGCACTGCCAAGAAGGTGATCAGCTGCAACCTCCGACCTGTAGAGGAGCTGTACTCCTCCAGAGCTCT